GGGAGAGGGAGAGAGAATTAGATTAGTTCATGTTGTTATTCTTCAGTATCTTATCACCATTACTATCGTGCTTAACTGACATATACCCTATTATTTTCAAGACCCTTAGTTTGATCTGATTACTTGCATCATTCTCTCAGTAACTTTATTGTTGATTTTAAGAAGAGCCCTGTTATAAAATTCTAGGTTACCTGAAGAACCATCTCATCCTGCTAGGTCAGGAGCGGCCCACTCGTGCTGACAGAGAGGGCCTACCACGGATCCTATCAGTCAAAGTCTGGCTGTTGGATCCAGAAGAGCCTTCTTGCTATAGCACCTGCCCTCTGGAACAGTGATCCCCAACCTTTTTTATGCCGCGGCCCGGTACCGGCATCAGCTGGGCGCCGCGGCCCGGTACCGGCATCAACTGGGCGCCGCCATCTTTTTTTGATGAAAAAGTGCTTCCGGTGACCTCACCGGAAGCACTTTTTCATCAAAAAAGATGGCGGCGCCAGCGCTTCCGGTGAGCTTTTCCGGGTAGAAATGGCTTTCTACCCGGAAAAGCTCACCGGAAGCACTTTTTTATCAAAAAAAGATGGCGGCGCCCAGCAACCAGTAAGACTTGTTCCGTGGACCGGTCTCGGTCCGCGGACCGGTGGTTGGGGACCCCTGCTCTAGAACATCCTATCCTCCCTCCCATGGGTGAGATCTGCTCCCACCTTCCGCTCCTTCCACAACAGCCTGAAAACCTGGCTCTGCCATTTGGCCTGGGGACCCAATGTGGGAGTATCAAACTAGAGGTGGCTGTTAGATTGATAGCAAACCCCACCTCTCCTCCTGCATTCCCTGCTTCTCCCTGCCCATCTTTTAATCGCATATTATTGTATTTCATTGTTTATTTTGTTGTGTCATTATATTGTTATTGTTACCTTAACCTTTCTTTTCATTTCTCTGTTTTTCTGTTGTAAGCTGCCTACAGTAATCCCATGGTGATAGATGGCAAATAAATTTAACATAACAACAAACAAATACAGGTAGTCCTCGTGTTACAACAGTTCATTTAATGATTCTTTAAAGATACAAAGGCACTGAAAAAAAGTAACCTTTGACCATTTTTTACATTTATGACTGTTGCAGCATTTCCATGGTCACCATCAAAATTCAGACGCTTGGCAACTGGCATGTATTTATGATGATTGCAGTATTCTGGGGTCATGTGATCACATTTTTTGCAACCTTTTGACAAAATCAAATGGTGAATCAAAAGTGGGGAAGCCAGATTCACTTAACAACCATTTTACTAACTTAATAACTGCAGCAATTCACTTAACAATAGTGGCAAGAAAGATTGTGAAATGGGGCAAAATTCACTTAACTGTCTCAATTAGCAACAAAAATTTTGGGCTCAATTGTGATCGTAAGTCGAGAACTACCTATAAATTCACTTGTTTTGTTTCTGGAGATGGGCAGTCAGAGTGCTTCTCTCTGTTGCATTCCCATCTTTATTTCTCCTTCTGTCTGCTCCAGTTGTAAACTTTCAAGTGTCTCTTCTCTGTTTCCAGAGACTAAACTGCAAGAATGTACCTCCACTCACTAGCTAATTAGTAAATCAGCTGCAACTGTAAGTCTCACCCCTCAGACAGTGAAGAAAGCAAGCAAACACAATGCAATTGAAAGAATAAAACTTTTACTAATTAGGCAAAGAAGCCTTCTTCGGTGAAGCTATTCAACTCCAAAAACTGGCCAAATTCCTTATTCCTGTTCACTCAAGTCTAAATGGAGCTCCCTAACTCACCTTTCTCTTTGCCCTCTTAGTTTGACGATTAAAGTACCTGTGCTTGAACATCTCCTTTTTCAGCTAAGAACTGATAGTATTGTATTAAATCTTCCTCCAACATTCCACTAGCCATTCCTGGATTTTCTATTTCATCTGGCAGACGAATTCTCTGAACCACTGTGCCTCCAGTCAGAGAGATATCACTAGCCACTAGAGAGAAAGAACGGCAGAAACATTTAATCTTATCTTTATATAATTCAAGATCTAGTGCATATCATACTTTTCATACACTGAATTACTAAAAGGAATCTTCACCTGTTCTAAATGCCCTTTAAATAACTGACACACACATATTTATAAGCAAACTTATGTTTTTCATTGTCATGTGATTCTGTGAAAGTATATAGAAATTGCTACAAGATGAAAAGCACCCCCCCCCCCCTCAAGATTACCTCTAAATTATGGATAATTTCCACAAAGAAAAATGTTCTAGGGATTTGTAAATGAAATGTATAGGGGGAGGGGGGAAGAGAAAAAAAATCTGGAATTTGTAAATTAAATTTAGGAGGGGAAGACACAACACTACCATGGGACAACTAATTTAATAAGTTTGAAGAGATTCTGGTTGCAATTTCTTTATATAAATATTTGTGGTGCCAGCTAGGTCTCCTAATAAGAGGGTTAAACAAAACCAATAAGTTAAAGCAAGAATACCCATTATTGCAAAAATAACAAGTAAACCTGCAAAATCTAAGATAATATCGTATCAAAGAAAAACATTCATTATATGCTTACAATTCTATTATTTCTTATGGAAAACTAAATAGCAGAATTCTGTTTGCATAAGATTTTTTCCCATCTCTTCCCCAAATGTGCTGCAAGATACCTGAATGTTCCAGAGCAAATTTACACCATGTAAGGGATATTGAAATGTTCCCCCTTCTAGATCTTGTGACAAAACCTTTTATGTCAATTGAAACAAGCATCAGATTCCAAGCTTTGCTTTTAGCATGAGCTGGTTACTAGCCATCATATAATCTATATAACCAACCACATTTCTATTTAAAGGGAATGAACTACTCCAGTTTAATGACACAAAATTATTCTGTGTATATATTAGCTAATGGAAATGTATAGATCTACCTCTCCATCTAACTGATGTATATAAATATACGTACATACCGTGGTTAGCTACTAGGCGATAATGCGTAAGTGCAGATTCACAGCTCTGAAGGACACCTATTCCAGCCCAGTACCGGTAGCCCTGGAAAGAAGCAACTTCTGTCATAAAGCAAGTACCGCTTTCTTAGATTTGAAAATATTCAAAACAGACATAATGTGTTTTTGTTAAATCATTAGCAACATCTTGTTTCAATGAACTTCAGCATAGAATGCAGTAAGTAAAAACAATAAAACTGAGCAATTCCAAAACCTTATACATAAAATTACAATATTCCTTTCTAAAGGCCAATAAATAAATTTATCTCTTCAAGGTAAATTTCTGTGTTCATTGGGATAAATTCTCAATAAGTACAAAACATAGCTATAAAACCTAGAAGGCAAGATTGATATCAGAATTTTGCTGTTTTGTATCATTACTTGTATGGTTGAAAAAAACTCTTACTTACCAAAATCATGTGTGCTATTAAATTTCCTCCAAGGGCACCGAAAGTATAATAAACTAATGCCTACAAAAACAAAGTGCAGCTAATTAATTGTATTGTTCTCAATGGCATACTAACAGAAACAGACAAAAGGTGGTGGCTTTGCATTACCTTCGCCTGGCTGGAATCAACACCAAGACCGGAAGCATATAGAAATCCAAGGGCCTGAAAGAAACATTTTAAAAAATGGCATTTTTACAAGATTACTTTCATTAGGTATGTTTTCAGAATCCAAATTAAATAGATAATAGCATTATATCCATATAAAAGGTGAACTAGTACCACCACACAATTCAGAGGAAACCATTCCATCTGACCTTTTTTTTGGCATAGTGTGTGAGCTGCGATGATGATGGAGAAGTCCATAACAAGTGCCACACAGATAATTCCTGTGTGATTTTTTTTTTTTTAAAAAAAGACCACAGAAATCTGCATGGTAGGTTTTGTTTTGAAACAGATACAGATAATTTGACACAAAATAGCAACAGCAATAGAATAGCACTTAAGACTTATATACTGCTTCATAGTGCTTTACAGCCGTCTCTAAGCGATGTTACAGAATCAGCACATTGCCCCAAACAATCTAGGTCCTCATTTTTCCAACCTTGAAAGGATGGAAGGCTGAGTCAACCTTGAGCTGGTCAGAATCCTGGCAGTCGGCAGATTTAGCCTGCAATACTGCATTCTAACTCGTGCACCCCCACAGCTTTTGTAAGGAATCCCCCTTATATCTCTTTCATGAATAATTTTATGTGCTTATTTAGTGGTGCTAATACACTGCTCTAATGTAAAAGATATATTGGGACATTATAATTTTACTTAATCGCAAATGTCAATAAACAATACAAAAACAAGCAGTAGAATAGACTACTACCTTGCTTGGGACCAGTTATCTGCAAGGCCATCACTTATTCAAAATGAAATTTGTTCACCAAGAAGTGCTTATAGAGAATGCTTACTGACAGTCCCCATTATGACAGGACTGCAGGAGCTCCACTCCTATAAAATGCCCTCTTCTCAATATAAGATCAGCACCTGAACTTTTAGTATTCAGGAAACTTTAAAAAAGTTTTTCTAATATGAATTTAAAACACAGACACAAGTGTTTAGACACACCTGGGTGTAATACTAGATTTTTCTTGAAGATACTTGAGACTATGTTTTATGAGAAGATGATAATTTATTATTTATTAAACCTGTATGGAATCTGACTCTTAATGACTCTGGGTCACTTGATTTCACAGTTTTATCCAGAAATATTAGCAGTATCTGAAACATCTAAAGTATTGCCCATATTGTATTAGAATGTGTTTTGGATGATTTCAGATCTAGTCTTTTTTAATAAAATATATTGCAAGGCTAATAGTTTTTGGCTACAATTCTTGGATAAAATGTTGGAATTTCTCACGTTAACAGATCAATGTCTTAAAATAATAATCAATTTTGTATAATCTTAAGATAAAAACAATGCAACTTTCAAAATGCTTATTAAAAATAGAAACTGTTTAAAAGGGGCTAGCTATCAATCTATGTTGGAAATATAACATATGAAATTGGTTTGTTTCCTTATTGTTCCTTTAGACTTTGTAAGTTAATGAATATAATTTCATATATGACTATGATAATGATCTATCACTATTGTTGTATGTACACTGAGAGTTTATGCACCACAAATTCCTTGTGTCTAATCACACTTGACCAATAAAGAATTCTAATTTTATATAGATGAATTTTATATAGATGAATATGATTTAAAAAGTGAGCATACTTTTCAATTATATACAACCTCCTGCTTCAGAACTTTTCATAATAAGAATGACAGATCTGCGGACCTTGAGAAAAAAAGTTATACATACTGTTTGACCTTTAGGAGATCCTTCTTCAGTCAGTTTCTCAAACAGTTCTTTAGCTGATTGAATATTTTGTTTCAAGTAGTCACCAAACAATAATGTGTAAGACACTCTTTCCATTGCCTTAGTATGATTCATGTCAGCTGCTCTCAAAAAATACTGATAAGCCCTTAAAGAAAAAATGCATGCTGTTATTCTTTTAAGCATAAATGCTGTTCCAGAAATACATGCGTAGATGGTGTGCAAATTCTCCAGCTGATGGCTGCACGAGCTCTTTGAATAAGTATTGTTAAAACCAAATTGGATTTCATTTGATCAACTTTTACAATGAATATGATTATTCTCTCATTATGTATTAACAATGTTCCTCTATTATTACATTAACAATACAACTTTCTAAAAACTTTTGGAAGTTTCTGGGAGATACATTCAACTTTGGACAGATCTCAAATCTTTTCCCTAAAAGTTAGCACATTTATCTTATGTGATACATAGTGTAAAATGTGAATGTAATGTCATAACAGAAATACAAGGCCTCATATACTGAAAATTAATAGCAAAAACACTAAGCCAAACATTTTTATTGCTGGGGTGGAATTGAAATGCCAAAGTTATTTTTTTCCAGTTTGTTAGGTGGGGTGGTTATGACAAAAAATATGCATTGAGCCTACCAAATCTTTAATAATTTGGGGAGCAGGAAGCCACATCATGCTAGTGATGTGGGCTTGGGGGCTTATTGATTCGCAGAAATAGGCACTTGTCTACTTCTATCTTAAGTTTTAACTAATAGGTAGCATTTATCTGATAAGCTGTATCTTGTAAAATACATTTGCTGAATACAGTACTGGCAGAAACTGACATATAGGTGTCATTATTAAAGGCTATTGATATCCTTCAATCCAGGAGATATGAGCTACAGAAAGAAGACAACTCACTCTTTCTTCTGGGCCTTTTTCCTGCTCTCATTAAGAATTTTCATCCCTGTTTGGTAAACATCTTCTGCTTCCTGCATTTGTTTTCTCTTATGAGACTCCTCTTCAGCTAATAAAAAGATTTTTTAAAAGGTTAATTAATACTCACTACAATGTTGATCATTTTATCCTGAGACCATGTATAACAGGCTTTTTTGTTAAACTATTGTGTTTTGCCATTTTTCTTATACTGTGGCAATCAAATTACTAAAGGCTCTGGAAAAAAACCCCAATCATATATTAAAATAGAGTATATCTATTATAGATTGATGGTATTCTTAGAAGTCAGTCTTCATTATACATTTGATTTTTTTTATTTAAAAAAGCAGTATTTTTTATTTTAAAAAGCAGGTTTTTTTTTAAATGTAAAAACCCCCACTGATGCCAGTTATTAGGGGATATGCAAGGCATTTTGTGGTATTTTTAGAGTAAAAAATATTGAAACATACTTCCCCCCACCCTCCAAATGAGCTGTTTGGAGCACTTCCCTAGTTCCAAACCATCCTATTTTATACTGAAAACACATTTTGCATAGAAATCAAAATATTTTATGAAATTTTATATCTGACAGATTTTAAAAGTAAGCATTCTGTGTAACTGCTACATTTTTAATTTAAAATAAATGGAAATTAAGCTTTGATTAACTCTAATGATAGAAATCTGTCTAGTGATCAGCGAGTTTTGTATTTCAGCATAGAAAATAGATCATATTACCCAGAACAATATATTATTTTAAGCAAAAAGCTGACCCAGTAGTTGAAATCATGAATAAAGTAAAAAAAAATGCTTCTTTATGTTTATTGTTTATTCAGGATTATTCTTCTATAGTTTCCAAAGCTTTGTAAGTGTGTGGATAAAATATTCACATATTCAAATTACCCATATATTGCTTTTTTTCTGAAGCATTAACTGTATTAAATGCCAGCATCTGAACTTTAAATCTAAGTTCTGCTATGAAAAACCAAGTGCATGAGTAATGTATTAAAAGTTCTAAAATATAAAAAGTAAAAATTGAGCAGGGAGTTAATAGCCACATGTACATTAGGCTAAAGAAAAAAAGGGAGTTATTTCATTTCGCTGCTTAATTTAATTCCTGCAAAAATATAAAAGGTATGTTTTTGGGTCCTGAAAAATACCGTATTTGCCGGTGTATAAGACGACTTTTTTGCCCCAAAAAACATGCCTCCAAGTGGGGGGGTCGTCTTATACGCCGGTATATCCACTGCCGGCTTTCGGATGCTTGTTGGACGCAGCGAAGGCGCCTCTGGCTTCCCGGATCCCCTGCGTCGCTTCCGCTTCATCCCGCTCGCCTCGCTCCGCCCGAGGCTGCAGCCTTCCTGCTCTTCCCACGGCCCCTGGCACTCCGCCCTGCCGCTGCAGCCCCGGGGATTTCTGGAGGGCGTTTCTGGTGGTGGTGGGGGGTCGTCTTATACGCCGGGTCGTCTTATACGCCGGCAAATACGGTAACTTTGGGAGATCTGCTTGTAAGCAATACTTGTATTGGCAACAGCTCCCATGCTAATAGTATGCATTTATCAGAATGTACAAACACAATTTTTCACATTCATTTGTATCTGTCCCTTACTGAATGACATCCATTAATTTAAATTCATGAAGTCTGAAAACTGCATTTCTTACAAAAGCCATACTTACTTTCACAAAACCCCCACTTTTGATCAGTCTTGTAGTCATAGGTTGTGGCACACCATAGTCTCCCATCTTCTCTCCCATCTGCAGTACATTCAGAGTATTCTTTCTCCATAAAGAGAAAGGGGAACCGACATAATTCACCATCTGCAGTTCCTCCAATAGCTGTCAAAACTAAAACAAACAACCCATTTGAAACACCCTGAAGTTACAATGCCTATCAAGTCAGCAACTGTTGGTAAATGTTAACATAGTTTTATTTCTTATAGCTTTCCTATGTAAATATATACATTTTAAGGCATTTCAGGGAGCTTATAAACATTTTCATCATAACGGATATGCAGATTCAGAAGAACAAGAAATTGAAATAGATAACAGAATCACATATGAATTGTCAAAACTTTTGCCAGTCAGAAAATTCTCTACAGAACAAAATGCATGAAAAATTATCCCCATGTTGTATAGCTGAAAGCCAACACTACAGTCATAAAATCTAATCAATTAAGAGAAAATAAACACAATGAAATTGTCTAATTCAATTATTTAAGGTAGAATCTGATTAAATCTGTTGATACAGTACCCATGTTCATTTTAATGCTGCAATATTTCTGTAATAATTTAGTTAGTCTTTAAACTTAATTAAAAATGGATTAGGATTTGAGAAGAATATGATCTCTTTACAAGGTGAAATGCAATTTTGAAATTTACATAAAACTAGGAAATGCAACTTGACGTGGCATTTGAAGAGAACTGAAGTCAGAGAGCATGTGCTACATCTATAATACAGCACTGAAAGAGAGCAAGAATCACTTTATGCTTTCTTTCAGTGTTATAATTAGATGTGTGAAAAGTTTCATAATGATTAAGGACTTCAGATGTTCCTTTCCTTAATTTTTCAAAATATTTGATCTTAAAATCTATTGGGACATTTCAAATTGCAAATGCTTATCGTATCATAAAGATTGTCTGCTTATATTCAAATAAAACTATATGGTAACTAAGTACAATAATAGCTTATCTGTAACTCTTTCTCTACCATATGCATTGCAATGACAGATTCCTACAAGCTAAGATTCAAATAATCCACTTTATGATTTAGAATTATATGTGAATTCAGATAGAGTTCTAATCAACAAACAAAATTCAAGGATTTATTGCACTGAAACAGACAAGATATCATGAAAGATAATACCGCTTCTCTCTTTCAAAATACATATTGCAATTCCTATTCAGATTTGCTTCTCATCTTATTTATCTAGATTAATGTTCTGAAACCTGCCCCCCTTGTCTACCAGTAATTCCTGTGCAAGTGAACAGCATAGCTGTCTTTTCAGATAACCTATTAGGAAAGATAAGCATGCAGTCATGCAAATTAATTCAGAATAAGGTTTATTCCCACAAAAAGCTGTAGGCAAATATTTTAAAAGCTCTCATCCTGCGGCTGAACCATAATTGACTCAAAACAGCCTGCAGAACTCACAGAGCTCAGCAGTTTGTTTAGGGTTAGAAACAAAGCATTTTCCATTTTGTGAGTAGTCTTGTTTTCAGTGCATTAATATGCATACGGTTTCCTATTTTTAAGTCTAAGTTCTCATATATACTGACTAATCATATCTGAGTATTCTCTTTGACAAACTTGCTTTCATTGAATAATGTTACTATGAGATATACTATATAACCCACACAATCACCTGCTTTTTCTGCTTCTACTTCTTCCAAGTCTTTATTTAATAAGGCAGACAATTCTAAAGAGCTTAAGCGCTCCATAGTCCTTTCCTTGTCCTCTTCTCCAAAACCATCTCCATCTTCAGCTAGAGCCTCTGGATCTTCAGAATCAATAAAGATCTGACCTGCTACCACTTGGGCTCCTGCTGAATGATCTTTGACTTGTTCTTCAGAAGGCAAGGTTGACTACAAAATAAATAGGGGGAAAAACATAGTTTTTGTTATGAAATACAGCAAAGTTGGTGTTTCTATTTTATGACAATTGCATGCAAGAAGTCAAAAGACATAAATAACCTTTAGGATAATGTAAACTGCTTTGTTACAGATTCCAATTTATCACATTTTCTTCCAGAATCTGCTTTTTGTTTTAAAAATATGTCTATTCTCTACTACCAGCAACATATCTTTCATTATATCTCATTAGATATGACTTCCACCAGCTTCAACCAATGCAGCTAATGGACAGTGCAACCAATAGTCTCACTGGAAATTAGCTGACAATATTTCCCATTTCAATTCTGAAATGACCTGTGTAGAAATAATTAAATAATCTAAGATATTTCAAAATAATAATCCCTGAAATAAAAATATTTTTCTCTCATTTAAGGTTTTATTCATCCATGAAACTTAGGTAAAGAATTTTTCATGGTAATTATATATTGTACCAAAAATTCATAGCAATTCTCCACTATGAGAAAGGAATACCAGACAAAAGACTAGTCACCTTTGATTCAAAAGACTCCTCTTGAGCAGCTTCTTCATCTACAAAATTAAAGAGGATGATTTTAACAGTAAAATTTGTGAATAAATCATGTTCTTAACAAGTGGCATTAATTTTATCTCAAAGCTTCTGATGATAAATACGCAACTATTAACCTACACTTATGAAATTACTTCATGCACAAATGCAACATGTACCCAAAGTTGTACAATGATGTGCTTGAGATACACCAAGAAATGAATGTATATGTAATTATAATTCATAGGTTATTTGCAAATCAATAATCCAAATCAGGAAGGATTATAAAGCATAGGTCGTCTTTAGTGAAAAAATGAACGGTAGATATATTTCTTATTACTTCTTTCCTTCTCCACTAACTAAAAATATCACAGGACTATCTAGAATAGTGGCAATTGGAGCATAAAACACAGATTGTTTCAGTAAAGAAAGAAATCTTACATTTGCAAAAGGCAATCTGGAATTAACTATGTAAATAAAACACAGTTTAAAGATAAACTGCTCAATCTAATTCAATCAGTTATTCCAAATTAGTCAATATGCTAAAAACTTATAAAAGATATT